ATTACAGAAAGTATAGAATAAAGAACAAGATGGCTCTTATAAGAGAAAAAAAAAGAGGCAAAAGAAAAACATGCAAGGTTGATTATCAATAATGAAAAAGAAATGGTTGAGTTGGATAAAATGGATCTCTAAATTGATAGAACAGATCTCAAAAACCAGTCAGGACACTCTAAACTTTTGTACAGGCTAGTAAGAAGAGACCGAATTCTAAAAATAGCAGATCTGAAATGCCATGCAAAAAGAATTGATAATAAGGCAAGAAGATGAATGTTAAAGATGCAAAGAAGAGTGTACAACCAAATAAGAAAAAAGATTTGAAACAAAAGATATGAGAAGATAATCGAATGAAAATATTTACAGGGAATCCGCAGAGTAGAAAAAATCAACCGACTCTCAGGCACACATACTTAAAACTATTAGTTCTCAAAAGTAAAGATTTTTTACCAGAAGAAGGAACTCAAGAAAATGAAAGCCTAAAAGAAATTCTACTCAAAGGTGTAACTTATGGAATGAAGTGGTTGGGTTTTAAGTTTGATCAGAACAATGGATAGTGATCTGCAGTGATGATCTGCAAGCAATGATGTTAAGGGTTGGAAGGGTATTCACCTGAACTATTAACAAAATGATAAATCACTCCCGAAGTTGCACTTAGAGTTTTGGTATATTAAGACAAAATAGCAACAAGTGAATTAGGTAAAATCCTAGATTTAGCAAATCATTTAAAATATATAGTATACAAATATTTAATAAAACACAAGTACCTAGTCTGACTTAAGGTTTAAAAAAAAAATAAAAAAAAATAAAAAAACTTATATCTAAAAACTCTTTCCACTGATCCTTTGACTATACACAAAAAAATTGTTCACAAGAAGTTTTATATTTCTTTACTAATAAAGTCTTTACACTTTCATTAAAACAACTTGAAACTTGTCTTTATATATATATCTCTTTTATCTTTTCTTACTTGTTTATAAACTCTTTTGAATAAAAACTTAAGCCTCTAGTGGCCTGAAAAGACTCAAGTATACATTTTTTTTACTAAGGACAAGAAGGTTCTAGGAAGTAAAAGGATTGACAAGTGAAGTGTCACCTTACAGAGCTAGAAGTGATAAGAAATAGAGATTTTGTTGATAGGGGAAGGCTTATTATCCACCTTTTCATATACTGTCTTGTACCTTCTTAAAGTGTTTACTGTTTTTTATTCTTAAAGGATTTTGCCTACCTCAGTTTGACCCTGAATTTCTGATAGCACAATATCATCTGGCATCTAATTGATTGACACAAAACACATTAGTAACTGAATATAAACAAGCTCCTATTGGTCACCTCACATGTTTTAATAACATTATTAGTGATAGAAAGAGTAATTGATGTCTTATATCCACTTCACTCTTTCAATTGGATTAACCTACAGATCAAGTATTATAAGGTCAATAAGATACAAGCAACAAGTCCTCAGGTGATGAAAAAGCTACTATTCATTCAAGCTGAGGTCTTTCTCTCCTATTATCCCAGTCAGGCAAAGTTCAAGAACAAGATCTCCTTTTTATCCTGATTAAGCAATAAGATTGAATGGTCTTTAGTCCATGCTAAGCTTCAACCCTTTAATTACAGTTGAGAATGTATTTTTCTAGAAGTTGTTGAAGGATATCACAATCAACATGAATCCTTACCATTGCTAAAACCTTTTCACTATTACAAGACAAAAAGATTATTAATGAATCTGGTCTTTTGAGTAATAGAAGATATATGCTAGTAAAATTCTTTTAATTATGCATGGCTGCTGGAAGGTATCATACTAAAACAACATGACTTAGTCCTTACTAGATTACATAAGAACTTGGGGTTCATTATAAGTCATCTTTCTATCACAGGTGAATAAAAAATCACTGCCCAAATAAGATTGGGACCAAGTATGTCCTGGAAGTAAAGACTCTCACTAGGTGATAAGTCTTCTTAGATGGTACACAAGAAGGAAATCAAGATTAAGAATAGATAAGTTTCTCAAATGGTCAGGAAAAGAAAGGATATCCCAATCAGCCATTTTTTATTGAGAAGAGATCTTAAGAAGTAAATTTTTGAAGGAAACCAGAAATATTTTTTTCAATTTTTATTCTTTTATTTTCTTGTTGTTTACTTAGACATTTTTAGATATCCCCTTTCCCTTTTTTCAATCTATCCTTTTGTAGTTTTCTGTATTCCAGTGGCTTGATCAGACATATGGCAGTGACAACCTGTTAGCAATAATGCAATGAACTAGAAGAGTTTTTATCCAAAAATACTGCAGAGCGAAATATTGTTTTCAAGGCTGAACTTAGAGGCTTTTATACTTATAACAAGTTAGTTAGATTAGAATAATAATTTGGCTATAGTATATATTATGCTGCTTAAATGAAAATGTACTTTTGTTTTCAATTGATTAATAAACTGACAATCTAGCCTGGCTACAGGTACTCAAAAAAAAAAATAAAAATAAAGAAGCCTATATCTAATATTAGATATAATTAAAAATAAAAAAAACAAATATACTGTATATATATTAGTCAAAAATTTTTAAACCTGTGAGTTTATAGTATAATGGTAGACCTCTCAGATTACAATTACAAAACTCAGAGTTCAATGCTATCTAAAGGTCAAGTAAAAAAATACTATATACAATAAAATGATTTTATTGAATAACAAGTTAATACTTGTCATTGGGTATAGTTCTAGCTATCTTACTGATATCTAAAATAGAATAATCTGTTGTAATATAACATTATCTATAGCAAATTTTTATTAAATCAGACCAATTTATAAGTATTGTGATAATCAATATCTTATTATTACTATAATAAGATAGAGGAGAATAGGATTAATCTCATGGTTAACCATGATAAAAACTAGATTAACAAAAGTATTTTGTCAATCTTACTGACCGATAAAGGAATTGTCAAATTAAAAAGACTAAAGTTTTAAAGAAAGTAAACATTGTATCAGTGAGATATATAAAAAGTATAGTCAAACTTGCTTGTAGTAAATCATCGAGAGATCTTGATAAGAGAAAAAATTTATAGACTATATCAAAGTTCCAAAACTAGGGACAAGTTAAAATACATATAATGGTCTGATAATTAAATTACTCTATAAATTTGTTCTAGGAAAAATTAAGAGAGCATTGTGTAATTTTCCTTAATAGGACTAATTAGTATATATAGCATATAATATATTTATAATTTATAAATTATTATATGTATAATATTATTTCATAGTAAATAAAAATCACAGAAATTTTTTTTAAGAGGAAATTGTGAAATAGAGCAAGAACCTTTTGGAGAACATTGAATTGTATTTTCTTTTTTCTTTTTTCATAATATCAACTTTAGCAATTTATTGTTTTTCAAGATAATTAGCAATACCAAACTGTTAACAATAATTCCGATTGACTTAGAAACTTCATATCAAGTTCCTAAATCTGACTTAGAGTACCTTGTTTAAACTTAGTTTTGTTTAGTTCAAACTAGCTTAATGAACTTTTCATATTTTTTAAGTAGTGTAGTTCTTTAATTAATAATATATAATGACAAGTTAGTCACTTTGTGAAAATTTATAAACATTGTAATATCTTTTAATATCTCAATAAAGATATACCATTGTAGCATAATTGTGAATTAAAAAAAAAAAATTAGTCAAAAAATTTTATCAAATTTTATTAATATTAAAAACTTTTTTTTTACTTATTAACTGCAACTGGTATTAGATATAAGCCTTTTATTAAGAATTAACTTAAACTTGGATACTTGATCTTTTGGCATGACATCAATCATCTTATACAAACTATATATTTCTATATACATGTAGATTAATGATTAATATTTAAAACTTTTTTATTGATCCGCTAATTATATATAAAAAAGATATTTACAAGAAGTTTTTATATTTTCTTATCAATAAAGTTTTATTACTTTTCTTAAAACAACTTGAAATATGATTTCAAGAATTATTTTTTATTTTTCTCTTTTTATTTACAAACTTTTTTACTTAAAAATTTTATTTTTAGTGATCAAGAAAAGTTAAGTAACACCTTTAATATCAATAATAAAAAAATTTTCAAAGAAAAAAAAATTGATTATAAAGTACTTGAAGATTTTTTTAATCTTTAAAGTAAAAAGTTTATAAAGATTTATTATAATTAATAGATATATTTTCTTTTTTTAAATTGTTTTGATCTTCTTAAAACTTTTACTTTTATAATTTTCTGATTGATTGTAACATAAGTCTTTATCAAAAATAATTGATTAACATAAAATACGTTGATTTTGAAATGTAAACAAACACATATGTTTCAATAATATCATTAATAAATAAAAAGAATATTTTGAAAATATTCCTTTCTAGTAATTCAAGTTTCTTAATAAAGACATTTATAATATCAAAAAATCAAGTAATAAATAATATAAATTGTAGATTTCTATCTCTTTTTTATATTATTTTTTTCCTTTTTTCTTTTAACTTAATTTTTTTGAATCAATTAACAGTAACAAACTGTCAGCAATGATCATAATAGACAGAGATTATAACTAATCTATTAGGGAAGTGAAATATTGTTTCCAAAATCTGATTTAGAGTACTTATATATAATTACTTTGTAACTTATTGTAGATTTTATTTTAATTTCTCAATAAAGACACGCCATTGTGATATGATTGCGGGTTAAAAAAAAAACTATCTAGTAAAAATTTAAAAATAGTGAGATACAGTAGTATTAATCATTCGATTTGCTTGGCCAAAAACAGTTGATGCACAGCACCACCATAAACCAATTCGGAATTATTCAATACTGTAATGGATAAAACCTAAAAAGGCAAAAAAAGGCACGCTCACATAGATCGTCCGAACTTCGGTGTAGCATAAACAAACCACGGCGAACTTATCCGAATTATGTGTAACCATTTCATTTTCGATTTTTTGGTTTTACCTCGTTAACGAATATGGTCTCGTCTCCAATTCTTACTCCCTCAATGCGGATCCCTGATGCTGTATACCCTCCTATCCCAGGCGAAAGTCATCGGTATTATGGAAACATACACATAAAGCAAGTAAAACTTCCCCAGAACAATCAGTCCCTTCGTGGAGTTTCAAGTTATCCTCAGTACTCTAACGTAGAAGGTTTGGTAGGGAATGATGCAAACATTCACGAAGCAACCGCAGCTGGAAACATGACTAGGGTAAAGGAACTACTAGATCCTAAAGGTTCTGGAGAAACCACTTCATCCTTTTTACTTGCCAACGAGACGAGCTCTTCTTCGGGCTTTACCCCGCTACATTATGCGGCTTCGCGCGGTCACTTGGAAATTGTGAAATGGTTGATCGACGCAGCCGGAGCTATTGTCGACCTTGAAGATCAAACCGGTGAGGTATGTTTCTCCCGTAAGAAAAAATTTTTATCTTTCGAATCTATAGACTTTTTACTTTACATATACTTCTTGTATTAGACTGCCCTGATGAAAGCCTCATACAATGGCCACACGCACGTCGTGGCTTTCCTTTTGCAAAAACATGCGAAATTCGACCAAAAAGATAACGATGGATGGACCGCTTTACATAACGCCTCTGCTCAGGGCTATTTACAGATTGTAAAGTATTTACTGGAACACACCGAGGCTGAAGTTGACGTCAAAAGTAACAAAGGTTACACGCCATTAAGTAAGTTTTAGTGCGAAATTTGTCAAGATCCTGTAAAAGCTGGTTACCAACCGGTATATAATAATTTATTCTTACTTCATATCACTTAGTGAATGCTGCGTCGAAAGGACATGTTGACATCGTGGAATACCTTTTGAATCGTAGAAGTGCAAACCCTCTTGTCAAGAATAGTTTTGGTGAGACAGCTTATGACGTGGCCGGCACAAGCCAGGAGGTATACATATGTGAATTGTTGGAGAAAGCGGAACGCGAATGGTGGAAGGGCAAAAGACCTTTACCTCAACGTAATTATTTTTACCTCAAAAAAAAAAAAAAAAAAAAGATTTATGATCCGCATCGGAAGTTGACTCGTGTCTTATTTTCAAACCCCCTCAAAAAGCATCATCATTCAGTGATCTCGTCCACCTACCAGCCACAAATCAGCCGTACGATGTTTTCGCCTTTCATATCACTGTTCCCGTCATTCTTCACGAGAATCAACGTTCCTCTTCCGTTTTTGGTGGGTTGTCCTCGCTTCGTGGATCACCGAAATTTTCACCAAACAATCTTTTGAAAAGTGATGTCCGTGGACCTTGGTCTCTTCATCCTAGTGGAAAACCTTCGTCCAAAGAAGATGTTCAACTTCCTATGGGATCCACATCTTCGTCTATGTCAGTTGTTTCTAACGCCACTTCGTCTAAATCTTCACAAAAATCGTCTTGGTTTTGGCATACCGATTGGCAGATCGACATGACCCATCCACGTGTAGATTCTCAAGGTTGGCAATATGCTAGAAGTTTCGATGAGGCAGATAAATTATGGCTAGTCGCTCCACCATCAAACGGAGGTAGTTGGGTGCGAAGAAGAAGATGGGTGCGTGTGATGAAGCGTATTATGGACCTTTCCTACATCGGCCAGAATTATGATCTACAGCTCGTAAATGATGATGATCATGAGGGCACGGATTATGTGACGAGGGCTGAAGGTATCATCAAGAAAGACTCGGAGAACAGGAGAGGAAAGAGCTATAGTGAACCTTCCGTGAGCGTACAACTGGCAAGATATAAAGAAGCCATCGAAATATTGATGAACGGAATAAAAAGTGAGTTTAACATTCCTATTGTAATTTATTAAGTAAGTTATACAATTCGTCAATACTCAAAATTATAATTACCATCATTATATTAAGCCGATACTAATCCGCAACGAAAACAAGAGGCCACTTCACTTGTAACCAGCTTTACGCAACACGCCGATTACCTAGAGAATACCTTGAAAGAAGTTGACACCTCAGTCATTCCAACTAGTCCAAGTTTGCATGAGATTCCTATGACTCAGAATAACATTACATCACCATTGTCGTCAATTCCAATTAACATAGATCCATTTTTATTAAAAAAATCAAATTTAGGAGTGACCTCAAGCATAAGAAGTTTCGAAACGGTTGCGTGGTCCAGCGAAGTTCAGAATGAGGAGGCTGGAAACTCTACTCAACCCTCGATTTCAGATAATTCTGTGTCACTCGTCAGAGCTCATCCTCAGACAGGTGTAACCATAACAAACGTTCAGGCTCAATCTCAAACTACTCCTAGTAAATGGGAAGATGACAGTGGTGTTAGTGAATGTCGCCGGTGTCGTAAGAAATTTGGATTATGGATCAGAAAGCATCATTGCAGGTTTGTTTATATCATGGACTTTTTGTTGTAAAGACATGATCAATAGAAGATGTTTAGTTTTGAATCAAACATTGCGCGCACGCAAGCACACAAAAAAAAAAAAAAAATAATGACAATAATAATTTTTAGAAAATGTGGTCAGGTTATTTGTGATCAATGCTCAACTTCACGAGTCTCCTTACCAGCGTCTCAAGTAGTCACGGGTCCATCTGGACGCAGCGACTCCTCTAGTTACCGTGTTTGTGATTCGTGCTTCGCCTCTAACGGATATCCTCGTTCAAATGGATCCTCGTCAGATCACAGACGTATGAGCAACAGTTCGGCCATGACTGAATGTCCTGCTTGCAATGTGTCTCTAAATAAAACTCCAGAAGAGAACGAAGAGCACATCAGAAGATGCTTTGAAAACAAAAATGGAAATAGCATTCAAGGTTATAAATATGTGGGTACGCAAGGAGATTCTTAGTCTTGAACATAGTCTTGAACAAACTGAAAAAAAAAAAAAAAAAAAAAAAAAAAAAATCCAGAAAGAAATGTTTAAGGCCCTATTATATATATAAGCTCTTAATGGCGAGACATTATTATAACTTATTTGCGGTTTCTGTCTTCCTATGTATTTGTAACTCTTTAACATACACATCGTTTCCCTTTCACTTCCACTCTACGACAAATTTCGGAACACTCATTTTATACAGTATACAAACTCCCTCAAAATAACCCCCTCGTTGGTCAAGAATGTCCCATTTGCTTCGAAGAATTTACCTCCGGTATGGAAGATATTTTCGAGTCACCTCGTGTTGTTAATCTCAAAATCTAATCTATTCCCTTCGAACCAACAGGCGAAACCGTGACGCGCTTGAACTGTTTGTGCTCATATCATTATCATTGTATACAAGGATGGTTTAGCAGAGGAGGAGAATGTCCCATTCATTTTCGATGATGCCAATTTTCTTTGCATCACATAACTTTAATGGATTCATTCTATCCATTCCTGATAACTTTTGAAATTTTTTTTTTTGCATAATTACTTTTTTTTTTTTTTTTTTTTCTACCAACCTGTCTATAGACACGTAGTGACTAGTTGTGATAGCAGAAATTTCGATCAACATGTTTCTACCTAATAAATATTGTTATCTTACAAGATTCATTGGTTTCAAGCAACAGTCTTGTGATGGACAAAAAGTGCCCCTATTAGAAGGGACATAATATTGAACTTTGCGGCATTTTTTATGTGCATTAAGAAATCTTGTGATACTGTATGATACATCCAAATAATATGATAATGATAATAGATAGACAAACATTCTCATTTAATCTGTTTTGACAGGTGGAATACTATATATACTCTTTATGATGCTTCGAGGAAAACTATCCATTCACAATTCTATCAACGGCCTTCTCAAAGTTTTCGAAAACACCATCAATAGTGGGATCGCGAGACTCATCACCACTTCGATACTTACCAGTCTTAACTGCAAGATAGAAATACTGTAAATAATTTGGTGATTCAAAAGAACGCGCGACTTTATTATGGTCAGCAAGATAATAATAATTGCGTACCAAGATATCTGATCATGCCTAATTCTTTCGCGCCACCTACGAAACGATATTGTTAATTTATCAAGAGGGATTTCACACCAAATTTGAATACACTACCTCCAAGATCTTGCCAGATATCGTCACCAATCATAACGACATGTTTTTCCTGACCCTTAAGGCCCATGTCTTCAATTGCCATTTCATAAATAGCCTTTTCCGGCTGAAAAAAACAAACAAAGGTTGACAATTGAAAATGACTTGCGAAAAAGGTAAAATGTAAACCAAGTCTCTAACTAAATACTTTGCCGACAACAGTAGATTTGACTCCGCTTGAATATTCCAACGCTTCCACGAATGCTCCGGGCCCCATACTGAGACCATCTTGCTCGGCATAGTACTTACCCTTGTGAACAGCGATCAAAGGCGCATCCTTGCTGTTGATCAAAATGCGAAAAGCCTTGTTGAGCTATATTATTTGATAGGTGATATTGAAATTTCAATCCTCGTCGCATCAATCAAGTAAAAAAGTAAATCAACATAATCTCGCAAAAGAAATACCATGTCATAACGGAAATTGGTCGGCGATAACCCAATTACCACGGAATCATTGGGCTCTTCTGTGGGAACTCCGCTAAAATCTTCTAGCGCGTCTTCTTCGAGAAATAACAATGGCCTTGCGAAGGTAAACTTGATGAATAATATAATTCGCTCGTTCATATGTATTTATTACTTTTTGAAATATCACCTTAGTCCACGTGTCAAAACAAAGGTTCGGGCTGCTGTCAGAGAGGTAAAGAGCTTTTTCGCGTAGAAAAAAAAAAAAAAAAATGACGAATGGAACACTATCGTCTGACCTATCTAATTATACTTGGAGATACGAAAGTAAATAAAATACCTCAGCCTCATGAGCTTCAAACCCCATCTTCGATAACTTTCCTATGATAGTTGATCGGCATTCTTTTGTAGTGTTTGTACAAAATCGAAACTGAATTTCACGCGTTCGTAAATTTCATTTGTTCGTTCGAAAACAAGGAATCTATGGATAACGCGAACACTAACAGGAATTGCGGTTTGTCGGAGTTTTCTTAAGCCAGAAATGGCGCCTTCGCAGGCCTGAGCGTAGATGTAGCGTCGAATTAGTTTTTTTTTTTTTTTATTAAGATTTTTCACGATTCCACGTATTTATCCAACCTTGTCGCCGACATGCAAGGTTCCCGATAAATCTATGAGAATGCCACGAACAGAATTCATCCGCTCAAACGAAGCTCCTAAAACCTATCCAGTGCGGTGATAAAATGGTGACGCGAAATATCATTGGATGATTTTTTTTTACTGATTATCTGTCATTTTAATTCTTGGTTCCCTTTTCGATTTTCGATAAGATGCCTCCTATAAAACTTAGCATTGTGCGTTCTATAATAAATTCTCTTGGCTTGAATTGCAAAAAGCCTGTTCAAAATGATATCTTCACTTTTTATTTCCACGGAAATGTCAACAATTATCTAAGTAAATTTCGTTTTAAGGGTGTTTTTGCACCAACTCGAACAAGCAAAAACAACTTTACACTCTTTCAACGCGGTCTCCCGAATTCATCTTGCCACCCTAATTTTGCATGTAGGATTTTGACAGAACCTTTTGGAAGTCCAACAAGCCAAACTATTGGAAATAGGATCTTTTCACTTATCTAACTTTAAATATTCTATGCACATTCTTTACAGTCATTCCTCGCAATCACCAGGTAATGCTTTATTTTGTCTGATCACTTATCAGGTCGACAATGAAAATATTAAACCTTGTGTTTATTTAGAGATCATTTCATGCCTCAGGTGAGCAATTTTTTATTTTTCGTTCAGGATATCTGACGACCATAGTAGAGATTAACTTTAACGAACGAAAATGCAGCTCCAAGTCGAGCCAAGGAAGACTATTACGAACTTCTCGGAGTCCCAAAGAACGCCTCTCAGTCAGAAATCAAGAAAGCATATTACGCAGTATGTTCACTTAGTATCTTTTCCTGTGAGATTGGCTTTTCGATTGTTCGCTAGTTATTGAGATCATCCTTTGTAGCTAGCGAAGAAGTACCACCCTGACACGAACAAAGATCCCGCCGCGAAAGAAAAGTTTGTAAAAATCCAGGAAGCATATGATGTAAGTTTGAGATTTTGATGTTATCCTAATCTCCTGGTCTAAGCTGAAAACACTAATCCCAATTTAGGTGCTTGGCGATGATGAAAAACGTGCTCAATATGATCAATGGGGCTCTGGTTAGCTTAAACACAGTGTGACAAATTTAAAGTTAGGTTTTGAACTAATATCACCTGTTTTTTTATCTTAGATGCTGGTGGTTTTCCTGGAGGTTTCGAAGGTTTCTCGGGTGGCGGTTTTCCCGACTTTGGAAATTTTGGGGGATTCGGAAACAACGATTTTTTCAATCATGTGTTTGGTGGTTTCGCCAGAGGCCCGGGCCCGGGATTTGGTGAACCACTAGTTCAAGGTTCCGACATAGAGGTCTGACCCGCGCAAAGTTAATATTCAACCCATAGAATTACGCGGATTTTTTTTTTTTGACTTCAACTCTTTTTTCATAAATCAGATGCAATTAAGCATTCCTTTCATGGATGCTGTCACAGGAACGTCTCAAACTGTTTCGGTCGAGGCTATTTCGACGTGTAAAGCATGCAAAGGTCGAGGTACTAAAGGTGGAGTGAACCCGGATAAATGTATTGCATGCAAGGGTACAGGAGTTCGGCGCATGTCTATCGCCTCGGGCTTCCATATGCAAAGCACATGTCCCGAATGCGACGGCAAAGGTACCAGAATACGCCCTGAAAATCGTTGTCCCAGTTGTGGTGGTAGAGGACAAGTGAGGGATCGTAGGCCGGTGTTGATCGAAATTCCAGCAGGTATCAGTTATTGGTTCGGTGGAAATAGTTTCTAGTGATGCGCACAACCATTCAATCTGTTCGTGGCCAATTATAGGCGTGGATGACGGTATGAACATTCGAATACCAAAACAAGGAGATATGCCATTGGGTGTTGAGGGTATACCGGGTGATTTGATTGTTAGGATACAAGTCATACCCCACAAAGTATTTAAGCGACAAGGCTCCAATATTGTTGTTGAAGCACAAGTTCCATTCCACACAGCTATATTAGGAGGCACCATTAGAGTTCCTACAGTGGACGGTGATGTAGAATTGAAAGTTCCCTCAGGTTCGCAGCCTGAGCAACAAGTATTAATGAAAAAACGCGGGATCAAAAAGATAAACTCCCAGAATCGAGGAGATCAGATTGTCGTTTTCAAAGTGAAATTACCGACGTGAGTTTTGTTCGCTGGGTCTGCATTTGTTGAGATATTCCTTCTTATATTTATCAATTTTATCACAGTAACCTTACACCTAAGCAAAAGGAGCTAATCGAAGAGTTCGCTCACACGGGAGGATCTTCTGATACAAAGGATGGTTTCTTTAAAAGCGCCTCCGATAAAATAAAAGGTAAATAATCTTAAAGAAATCCTAACCCGAGATATTTGATGATGTAAAAGTCGACAAGAATCATCAATAAAAAGAACCTTTTCTCTAAATTTTTGAAAATTAAGAGATTGCTAATTCTTCTTTCTTTCAGCATATTTTAAACAAATATTAAATAAATAGTAAGAAAGATCATATTATATGTACACCCTTGAATTGCTACTTGGATACAAACCTATATATTGATTTGTTTACGGCTATTTTGATTCGTATCAATTCAAGTTAAATTTCTTTTAGCGCACAAGTGCCAAGCTAAATAACTAAAAATATTATCACTATATAGTCAATAACTAATTTTAATTGTTTATTATCTATATAATTTTGTGTTATATAAATTTACCCGCAAAACTTTCGTACAAATATAACATAAATAGTATGTCTACCTTTATTAATACAGGCAAGAGCAATATTATATAACTTTATTATAAATATGCCCAAGTTACCTTCAACATATTTGAAGCAGGTTACGGCGAGTCAGTCAGTCGTTAACGTGTGACGGCTCGCGTAACCTCAAAGTATATGAAGGGGGTGCATCACAACGATCATTGTATGTAAGGCTCGAGGCGTGTATTTGGTAAGAGGGTAACAATGATTTCTCAAAAATATTCTTTTGCCTAATAAATGATGGGAAATAGTTTCTACGTATAAAACTTAATTTCATGTACTAAGTAAACTTAATTCCACATAATAAATTCTACGTGTATAGTAAAATTTTTATAAACTTTTATTAATTTTTATATTTTGTGATATCTACTTGATTTTATAACTACAGTACTATTTTAACAAACAATTTTTTTTTTTTTTTTTGCGTACCTGTAGCCAGGCTAGATCGTAATTTATTAATCTATTGAAAGCATAAGTACATTTTCATTCAGGCAGCATAATACATTTTACAGTTAAACATCAATTCAAATTTAACTAACTCATCATAAGCAATAATAGTCTCTAAATTGATCTTGAGAACAATATTTTACTTCATGATAGACTTTGATAAAAACTCTCTTAGTTTACTATTTTATTGCCAGCAGGTTATTACTGTCAAATGTTCTATCAAGTCATTAGAATACAAGAAACTATAAAAGAATGGATTGAAAAAAAGGAGAAGAGTATATTTAAAAATATCAAAGTGAACTATAAGAAAAAGAAAAGAAAAAAGAAAAAAAAATTCTTTGGTTTTCTTTAAAAATCTACTTCTTAAGATGACTTCTTCTCAATAATAAATATTTAATTGAAATATAATTTCTTCTTCTGATTATCTAAAAAACTTATCTATTCTTGATCTTGATTTCTTTCTTATACAGTATATTATTTAAGGAAACTTGTTACCTAGTAAAAACTTTTACTTATAAGACTATTTAATTTCAACCTTTTTTGAATAATGATTTTTTATCTATCTATGATAAACAGATAATTTATAATGAATTCCAGATTTTTATGTGATCCAGTAAGAACTAAGTCATATTGTTTTAATATAATATCTTTTAGCAATTATATCTAATTAAAGAAATTTTATTAGTAAATATCTTCCATTATTCAAAAAGTCAAATTTTACAATAATCTTTTTGCCTTGTAATAATAAGAAAGTTTTAAAAGAGATAAGAATTCTCATTAATTATGATATCCTTTAACAATTTTTGGGAAAATGTATTCTCAACTGTAACCAAAGAGTTGAAGCTTAATATGAATTAGAGATTATTTAATTTTATTACTTAATTGAAATAAAAAAAAATCTTGGTTTTGAACTTACTTAATTAGAATAATAAAAAAGAAAGATCTCAGCTTAAACAAATAGTAGCTTTTTTATTATCTAAAGACTTATTGCTTACATTTTATTGATTTTATAAAACTTGATCTATAGATTAATCTAATTGAAAAAATAATATAATATATTTAATATTAAAAAATCACTTTATTATCATATATCTTAGTTAAAGAAAAACATTATTAAATGTAAACAAGGAACAAATAATTCTGGATTACCAATAAAGAAAAAAAACAGTCTTTAAATATATGTTTTTTCAATATAAATAAATATAATAAAAATATATAAATTAATACACATATAATTTTAATAATTTTTTATTGTATAGATAAAACTCTTTCCACTGATCCCTTGACCACACACAAAAAAGATGTTCGCAAGAAATTTTTTATTTCTTTACTAATAAAGTCTTAACACTATCCTTAAAACAACTTGAAG